ATCTTGTAAGGGCAGACGTCAGAATTTCATACTCCCCAGGGCACTGGCCTCAAGCCAACGGGCTCATAGAGAATGCCAACCGAATGATCAAGACTGCACTTAGACGGAATATCACCGCAGGTGATACCAGACCCTGGCATGTCATAGTCGACCACATTCTGGCCGTCTATCGGGCTACTCCCCACGGGAGCACCGGGGTGTCCCCGTTCCAACTGAGAACCAATAGCTTCCCCAGAGTGCAGTTGTCACCTCTAGTGGGTACGAAAGTTACAGTGACCCGGGCCCAGCACAAGGACAAGACCCAGCATTATCAGGATCTGATGGCCCGGACCTATCCCGCGTTAGCCCGAAGACGACAAAGGGCCGTAGATCTGACGCATCAACAGCAGATCCGGGACCGTGAGAACCGACACGCGACAGTGGGACCAATGCCCCGTTATAAAATCGGGGACTTGGTGCAGGTACATAAATCTGTGCGCTCCTCCAAGATCCACCCACGCTATACCGGCATTTACGAAGTGACGGAAGTTGGCGCACGAGGACAGCACTCCATGAAGCTGGTCCCCCGGCATAGCATGCAGGCCAGGTTACTTACGCGACACGCGGCGACTCTTTGGCTGTTTCGGCCATCTCCGGGTCGTGAATCGGCTCTTGCCCCGTCCGAGCCTTCGTCCTCTCTCTCCCCCTCTCCTTCTTCGTCTTCATCCTCTTCCCGATCTGCCTCGTCTCTTGGTGCTGAGAGTTTCAGGGATCAGGATGAACCATCGCCAGCCGAAGCATGAGCCCCTCGAGCATTTCCAGATGCCGCTTGCAGATCGCTTGTTGCGGCACCAGTTCAATGAGGAAAGGCAATTGCGATACGACATTTAGCAGGTGAACGTGCTGGCGCCCGGGGTTGCTGATCTGGCAGCATACTCGTTACTTTGTGATCGACTGACGTATGCAGGGGTGTACGTGGACGTGATGCAGTTGCCTGGGCTGGCGACGACTCGAGTGTTCATCGAGTTCCGCGCGCTCCAGGTGGCACCCAACTTCGTGCATAGCATCGCCACCTTTATCGGAGACTCTACGATCCTGCCACCGCCGAGTCGGGAGCTGGCGTGGAGTTTGGTGTGCGAGTACGCGGTGCAGGCGGCCAGACCAGTGGCGAGAGTGCAAGGACGGGGGGGACACCGATTCACAGCCCACAAAGCGCTGCTGCGCAGGGCAGAGGACGGACCAATCGCGTTGGTGCCGCAGCTCCGTGTGCTTCTTCCTCCCGCTGCCCCTCTCAATATCCAAGCTATCCCCCCTGCCCCGTACTAAATGCCTCCCTTCTTCTCTTACACCACTCTCCCCTATCAACTCACGGAGGGCCCTTATCCTATGCACGAGTTCTCGGAGTATTTGGTGGAACTAACTGACGTGGAACCGCTGCCCTTCGCAGACGAAGACACGTGGGAGTTGCACCGTGCGCTGTACCAGTCGGTGGCGTTGAGGATGTTCCGATTCTTCGTGGATCACGAATACCGCTGTGTCGGGACGCACTTCGTTGTCTACTACGTCATCACGCGGCCCAAGCCAATGCAGATGGAGGGGACGGTGGCGCTGTACCCATTCGTCCAGCTCAAGACGATGGATCCGGGATTGTTACAGCTCATACATCTTGAGCTCCTATCCATTGGGCAAGTGATTGCGAGCGAGGAAGAGGAGATCCAGCCACGATTGCGGACAGCGGCTGACCCACAGAGAACGTTCAACGCGGTCGTCATCCCGGATTACATTGCGCAGCGTGAGGAGAGGTTGGAGGACTTCCCGGAGGAAAAGCTGTTGCGGCCTCCCTCGTCGTATCCCAGACCGGCGCCGCCAAAGGCCCCCAAGAAGACGCCGAAAAGGAAGAGACGCCACCCGTCGCTAGGAGTGCAGGGCAGCAGAATCGGTGACGGTGAGGAGGTGGTTCAGCCCGTGCGCACGCGGAATCTTGACCCGGTGCCCGGGAGTGCGGCGACGCCGGTTAAGGAGACCGTCGTGCCATCACCGCCCTTCCCCCTCGTGCCCGATCTCAATCTGGATGGAGCCGGGCCATCAGCCGCAGCAGCCGGAGGAGGGAGCCGAATGCGATTACCGGATCCCGTATCCAGATCCCCCGTCCTCACGGGACCTTTCCGCCTCCGCCCACCACCCCGGAGTGCCCCGATCATTGACATTAGTTGTTCCTCCGAGCCGGACGGTCCATCCGACAGAGGTGGACTTCATGGTGGATCCCACCACCATCAGGCTCAAGGCCATCGCGGAGGCGCCGCGCCCTGATCCGGCATGGGAGCCATATCTGACACCCCCATTTCAAGGGTGTATTGCGGCGCGACTGGCGGGGACGCTCATCTATGAGACCGGGCAACATCCCAATGTGATATACCACTTCCTTGTCTTCGCGGCGCAGAAGCGGGAGCGGCGGCCTTACACCGAAACTCATGTGGTGATGATGGGTCCAGGACCCCGATCGGTGCGCAAGCGGGTGGTGCGGGCGGTGGCGGATCTGGCGCCACGTGTCCTGTCTCATGTGTCGGGGGCCTTCCTGTATCCTTCGTTCATCCAGCACCACTTCCATGAGGAAGACGCGCCGACGACTCCCGCGGCCATGGCCCCTTTTCTTCCACCTATTCCGCCCCCTCTCAATCCCGACATCGATCACTTCCTTTGATCACCCTCGTTTACCTCTCCCCTCTTCTCTCCTTCTCCTTCTTTTCATCGTCTTCTTCTCCTATGACCAAAGTTTGCGCGTTGAGATGCGATGTATATGGAAAAAAAAAAAAAAAAAAAAAAAAAAAAAAAAAAAAAAAAAAAAAAAAACTACAAACAAACAAACAAACAAACAAACAAACAATTTATGGACTACTTACCGATCGGGCCAGCTGACGATGAAGGGGCCGCCCGATCGAATGTATAATAAGAAGGAGATAGCTGACAAAATACATCGAAGTAGGATAGGAGATGCTCGGGCCAGCTGACGATGAAGAGGCCGCCCGAGCATCCAAAGTATGATGACATCAGCAGTCGGGAGACTGCTAATTTTTTGGAACCCCCTGCGTATCACAGATGTGATAAGCTCAGACCCGTACTGCGCGTCTTGCCGTATCCCTGAGGAAAAATCCCCCAGAAGCGCCGAAGTACAGATGCGAACGAAAAGGGTTTTTTTTTCTGAAACGGCTTTTTCATTTTTGGCTGATAACTCCCGCGCAAGCGAATAGAGGTCGAGGTATGAAAACCAAGAAACGGTTTCGGTTGGGACTTTTTGAATTTTTGCCCGCGCACTCCTAAGCTCCGATTTCTTCGCGTGTCTCGCACCCCTGTTTCTTGCTTTGCATCCCCGCGCCATCTTCCTCTCTTGCTGCGCGCATTTCCCTCAGGCCGGACTCTTCGTCTTCCCCTCCGCCCAGCTTGATCCTTACCCCGTCTTCTTCCGCGAAGTGATTGGCTGCGTAGTTAKGATGCTCGGATCAATGTGGAGAGCGGGAAACCGCGCACCACTTGAACGAACACCCCAATCACGTAGGACCATCCAACCCCGCGGGTCGAACCCTCTGACTCCCCACCTTTCTTCTGTCCTGCTCATCTACACCCTGCGGTGCCCGCACCTCGCGCTGACAACCCGCCACCTCCCGCGCTATAAATTCTCGCAACCCTCTCCTCTCCTTCTCTTTGATCTCAGGTGCAATGCTGCGCGAGCTCTGCGTGAAAGCCTGCGGCGCCGAACAGGCTCGACGAGCCCAAGGACAGCCAAAGTGACTACGTGGGGTCGACCCGCAATAGTCTCGGGGCGCAGCAATCAGAGGGACTGAGCAGTGGTGGGGATTGGACGCCGGCCGCGGCAGGGCCTTGTGGCTATGGTGGTCGGTGGTCTTGGGAGGTTTTGAAGGCTGCGCCTGGGGGCGGTAATGAATTGAGAATTTTTGTGTTCAAGAAGGACTCGCTTTTATCTCCATTGCTGCTTTGTCTATGCATGACGTGTGTGAAGCCCCGAGTGATGGGAGCTTGTTGTGTGTATGAGTGATGTCGAAGGTCTATGGATGATTGGATGTCCTGTCAAGGGTTTTTGATTGCATGCATGTACTTATCCGGGCGGCGACGGGGGAATTGAACTGGAGGACCGTCTGCTTGGGAGTATGAGTGTGTTGATCATGTTGTTCCCCTCCCCTCCGTGACCTTTCCTGCGCGCACGCGCAGTCTCGGTGTAACTCTCTCTCTATCGCCTTTCTTTTTTAACTTCTCGTACCTGCGTCGGTGATGTCAACCGCCTGCGTTCGCGCGCGCGGTCGACGCCCTTGTAAGGGGAAGAGAGCTTAGAGTTCGTCATCTTCTCTCGGCGCACCAACTTTGAGAGAGAAGAGTTGCGTTGAGTGTTGTATGGAGTCAGTGTTGGTTCGGATAACCGGGAGCACGGGATCTTGCCCGTGTGCATCGCGCACCTCCGATCATCTCATCTCGCTACTGACCTTCCCCATTGCAGATGACGACAGCGTCTACTGCGATGCGGACGTACAACGCCTGCTGAGACGGACGGAGCAAGTGTGTTGGCGAGACCCGCCTAGGGCGTGTAATATAAGGGGGGACGGGTTTGTTTTGATTGATCGCTTTGATTCCCTGACTCTAATATTGCCTTATACGGGTTTGACGATGTTGCTCTGGTCTGCGGCTCACGCCGCGTGGCGGCCGCAGTTTGATTGTCGATGGTGTCGCCTGAGGGACTCGTGTTCTTGGCGACGCTTGGTCCTGGGTTACGGGGGAGCGACACGTTTCCCCGAGCTCTCCCGTAATGCGGGGGCGCTGCCCTCGCAATTTCGAATTCGGATGCCGGCGAGTCCTCCCGCCGCTTCACCCTCAGTAACTTCTGCGCGGACTTTGCGAGTCCGACGCCGAGGCTTGAAGGCCTCGAACCAACCACTTCTACAGCAAAAACCCGACGGTCTGGTCACTTCATGAGGCCGATGACGAGGCCTGAAGGCTTCGAACCCACCACCTATCCCTCAAACCCATGACGACCGGAGTTTCTGTCTTCCGCCGCCATGGCCCTCTCCCCTTGATGCCTTTTCCCGTCCTGATGCACGACGGTGGTTCGTTTTTGCGGAAACCCTTCTGATTTTATCGCTCCGAAGTAATCCGACCCCCACGGGACTTTGCGACAACAGTTCGACTCCGGGGTAACCTCTAGCACAAAACGAGAGCCTCCCGTTCCGTCCGGGAGACTCAACCCCTACGGCCAAAAATCCTCGGCCACACCGCTCCTAGAACTCTGATCGGCGACCCAGTATGGGAAGCCGCGAGGGGGCGTGTGGTTGGTATCAGAGCTGATTCGTTTCGGCTCCGAGGTTTTCCTAGGACGATTACCCAGTTTAAGATTTTTTCCTTTTTGATCTTTTTATTAGATTTTTTGCATTTTTTAGTAGGCTGGCTCCCCGTCGACGGCGGCCTGCGAATAGCAATTAGAACTGAGCGAGAGGCCAGGCTCGAGGTCCGCCTCCCGTGATGGTTGAACCCGGAATTGGGGGTGGAAACAACGACGATAACCACGCGGGGATGGCCAATCATCCCCTGTATTTTGTACCTCCTCCCTCCGAAGTTCCCATTTTCTCCGAAGATGATACCGACCCTCGCACCTGGCTAGCTGCCTTGAAAGCCCAGGGCTGGTCGGACCGGTTGCTCCGAGAACGAATTCCTGGAAAGTTAGCCGGGACCGCTTTTGAGTGGTATGGACAGAACCCTTTCACCAATTGGTTAGCCTTCTAGAGGAAATTTCTCCAGAGGAAATTTCTCGACAGATTTGATCACATCACACCAGGTCAATGCCTCCGTCTAATAAAGGAATATACGCAGCAGCCTCGGGAGACCTTGGCTAGATATGCTGAACGCTTTACGTACCTAGCCGAATGCTCCGGAGTGGACGAGAAAATGGTACGGACTGATTTCGTCAGAGGATTGTGAGATTCTCGCCTGTGGAAAATGATCCGCAAGAAATGCAACGCTATAGAACATACCCTGATGGAGCTAATTCAGTACGCCATTAAGTACGGAAAAGAAAATTACGATGTGGGCCTGGACTCAAAATCCGAAGAAGATGACCCTTCGGGTGTTCGACGCAATAACTACTCCGCTACGGCACGAATGTTCAAAGATCGCTTCGGGTTGGGTCCGGCAAAAAAAGGCTTGGATCGGAAAGCTTCTTCCTCTGCTCCGACCTCCCGTCGCTCTAGTCAAGCTCAAGGAGGCCGGGGCGAGGAAGAAGTATCCATGAAAGAGGTCGCGGCCCAACTAGTTACGGTAGTGGCCCCGTTGACAAAGTTTGTTCAAGGTCTGCAGCGGCAACGCATAGCCGCCACACAACGGCAACAAGCGGCTATGGCCGCCGGGGCCCCTATGATAAGACTGGCCGTGGTTGGGGCTGTCCCGCCCCTACGCTGTTATAACAATAATCAGCCAGGCCACCTTGCGAAAGATTGTCCAAAACCTCGAACTCAGAGTGGGCCCGCGGGGCCCACCGGACCTTCCCAAATCCCGCTGGCTGCTCGAACCGTTGCAGGACAATGGAGGGTAGCTACGGTGATGGATACGGGAACATCAGAAATGGTGACCCCTGCGGCCACCGAGATAGGGCCCGATGAGTACATGGCTGCGGCAATGTTCGAACCCGGGACCATTGGAGTGATACGTCACGTCCAAAGGATTACCGGGGAAGGCGACCTCAAGCATTGGCGACCGGGGTTCGAAGATCTCATGGCCCCTGGCCATGAGTACAAAGACGGTCACATCGATGTGTTGGATGCATTGAAGGCTCTGGATCTACGGATCCCCGTCCCTATTCCCTATCTGCTAACCATTTCCGAAGCGGCTAACGAAAAGTTGATCGAACGATGCCTCAAAAACAGGCGTCGATTCCAGGAAAGCTGAAAGGGCAAAGAGTCGGTCCTACGAGACCTACCCCCAAACGAAGAGTCACAGCCCTCGACCTCACAGGTGCACGAAGCCAACCGGATAGGAATGATCCAGACCGTAGATTCTGCCTCGGAAATACCCGAGGTATTCCTCCGAGCCTATCCTATAACCTGGAAAAGCATTGAGTGTGACTGCGAGGTCTGGGAAAACCCCTCGACCGCCATCCTAGACTCGGGATCGTCAGCGGTCGGCAATTCTTGGAGATTGACGAAACGATTGGGAAGGGAAGGACAGGTTCAGCCCCTCCGACCGGATGAATTGAATATATCCGCTACGAAAGACAACATTCATTGTATGGGGCGGATAACGAACGTGCCTATACGGGTGGGGCGGGTGCATTGTTTGTGCGACACAATCGTGCTGGATGTCCAGGCGTATGATGTTCTGCTAGGCATTCCATGGCAGGCGGCGGTTGGAGCGCGAATGCACCTTGACAGCTGAAAGGTGGTGCTCACATCGGCCCACCCCAAACCACAAATGATACCAATGAGATTGGCGGTGCGTATGCGCACCCTGCCGGCGCCTCGAATCACCACGAAAGCCCAACAAATCAATATGATTCGACGCCTGTCACCAGGCGAAAATAAAACCTCGACGGAAACTGACAAGACTTACGTTCCCGACCAATATCTGATCCGGGTTTAGGATCGGTGGTGCCATTCCTGGTGACGAGAACCCCTAGAAAAAGTTCGGAGTGAGTCCGATTGGTCGCACGTGTTCTCCTCAGTGGCGCAGGGGGAACATCTGCTGAGGGTGTCGCGAATAACTGACCTTTCAGAACCCCCTGTCTCCTTATATCTTAGAACGGCCCCCCAACCCGAAAGGTTTACGGAGCTCAGGGGGTTGTGCGATTTAACTTTTCGGCCTCCCAGGCCCCTGCTCACAAACGCAAAAGTCATCTGGCTCTTGAAGGAAGGGGTGTCATTTCAACCCCGAACGAGGGAATATCAACGGAAGCCGAAAGAACTGATACAAGCCTTTTCAGTGGAACCCTCGGCTGAAACCGAGCTCGAGAACGACAGTGACATGGAAAATGAACCGATAAGCCCCGCTGACAGTCAACTTATCGCGATCGTGCTTTCGGCAAAAACCTACAATTCTCTGTTTGGTGCCTCACCCGAAGCCAACGCAGCGGTCCCCATGGTTACGACGACGATCTCCCTCCCTGAGGGAAACGTGGACGTCCGGCTGCCGGTCCATGTGCCTGACGACTACAAACGGCTTCTTTTGGCAGTTATACGGGCCTACCCAGAGGCCGTTAGTATCATGGACCACGATATAGGACTTATCCACTTGATCCAACACGCAATTGATACCGGTGGCCGCGCTCCGATACATTGCGGACCGTACCGTTATTCCCTTAGGGAAAGACAACTGGCCTTGGACAGGGCATAAAGTTCGAGTGGTTAGGGTGGGTTGAACCATCGCTGGGACCATGGTCATTTCCCGTGGTCCTCGTGCCAAAACGAAACGGTTCAGTCCGAGTGTGTATTGACTACCGCAAATTAAACGGTATCACTACCAAAGATGTCTATCCGCTACCGCGGATTGACAACCTGCTGGATGCTATTGGGTCCGCTCGAGTCTTTTTAAAGTTCGATATCCGACACGGTTTTCACCACGTCGCAGTCCGACTGGAAGACTGACCCAAAACCGCTTTTGTCCTGTTCGAGGGCACGTGGCAGTGGATCCGGTGTCCCACGGGAATTTGTAACGCCCCCGCAACATTTTCCAGCGGGCCATGAATATGGCCTTCGCCGAGTTTGTTAACACAACCCGTTTGACACAACCGTTGATAACTTTCTGTGTGATTGTGTACATGGATGACATTTTGGTCTTTTCCAAAACCTACGAGTACCATGTGGAACATGTCGAATGGGTGTTGCATGCGTTGAAAGA